TATTTATTTGGAAAACGAATAATCAATTAGTTAATTAATATTACTTACTGCAAGCGTATTTCCTTCCATAAAGTATATATAACGTTGTACGACATAATATTTAAGATTTAGATCTCACTATTTTGAATTCAGTTTACTGTATAAAATAATAATCATTCTTAAAATACCACTAAGTCCTTATTCTATATGTATGAGCGTTTTAATTATCTATATAAAGCGCTGCGCGTATTTTTTTACTATCCTCTCCTTCCACACTCATCCTCGCAATGTTTCCGACTGGTGCATTTTTTGGTGTTCCAACCCCTTTCTATGGTATTAATTTCCTTTTTATTACTTCTTTTAGGTGTTGCTAACATCGCTATTCCACCGCCTACATTGCCCGTAACACCGACAACGTCTACTGACAATCCTCCTCCTAAACCTGAGATAGTTATCGTGCGTTTTAACTTTGATTTTATGTTTAACTAGCCGGTAAATGAGAAACCTCCAGTAACAACGGTTTTCGTGGGAAATATTTCAGAGCGAGCTCCTGACCAGCTAATCAAAGTGCTTTTAATGGTACCACTTCTTTATACAATTACCTTAGCGATGTGGTAATATTTTGAGCTGGAAGCACGTTCAAGGAGCTTCTGGAAAGCTCAAGGCATTTGGATTTTGCGAATATGAGATGCCAGAATCGACTATGCGTTGTGTGAGATTGCTAAATGGATTGAAGGTTGGGGACAAAGCCTTAATGGTTTGTTCGCATTCCATTAATCACTTTTCAAGGTTAAAGTTGATACCAAAACTGAAAGTCTCCTTGAAGAATATTTTAAAAAGAAAAAGAAAGATGACGCTGATGAAGAAGAGCAAAATAAAATCATGAAACGTGATGACGAAGTCATTAAGCTGGCACTCCAAGGAATCTTGAATGAAAATGCTGCACTTTTGGAAGTTGAGGGTATGCGTGTTTTTCTCCGTATTTCTTTCAGATCCTTCAAAGAAAAAAGATTTGCGTTTGGAAGGACCTCGACACCTTGTAAATATTTAAATCATCCTTCATTTTTTCTATCATTTAATTTCTTAACCTATATCATTACATTTCAGACAATAGAAGACATGGATTTGGATAATGACAGAAAAGATCTTATTAACCGTGAGATTGAAACCTTTCGCAAACGTCATGAGGTGAGATTTTATTTTTTAACCATTTCTTTTCCCTTTAACATTGAGTCCGTGTACGATCCTAATTATTTGTACAAATCGCCGCTCTTTTTGGTAAGGCCTACTTATATGAATTAATTGCTCTGAATGTAGCTTAATCAACACTTCATTTGAAGTTTAGGACGACTGGTGAGTTATTTTCGAAATTATCTTACGCAATGTAAGCTAAGCCGCAATGTTTAAGTTCATTATATCGCTTACCTAGGAAGCACTGCTGCCACTTCAAAACTTGCTACGCGGCGTCAGCGCGTCGCCTAACAACCTGGATATATAATGGTTGGTCGTTTTAGCCTCCTGTGTTTCGTTCCTTGAAAACTACCTTATTCATCTCATGCCAGCTGCGGTGAGTCACGTGTACAAAATTACTTGTATATCCAGTCCCACTGCTTTTATTCTTTGCATTCCTACGTGGAGCGCAGTGGCCTCAATTCCCTATGAACGGTGATGGGGAGAAACGCACTTGACATTATAATGTCCGTTCTGCTGACGTTCATTGATTGGCTTTTTAGCTGTGAATACTAGTTTTTGTCTCTTAAATTCTAAAATATTTGTGAAGCATCCTTGCGGGTTGTTTTTATCATTAAGAGCATTTAATCTGCTAATTCTATATCTGGTTGATTAGCAGAAGGATGACGACTCCGACAAGCGCGCTAAAGCCAGGCGCGACGCTACGAGTAGCCGATTGAAACTGGAAGCCGAGCGAGCTAGTCGGGAACGTGAAAAGGAGCGACGTAGAACTCGTTCCCGCTCAGTCGAAATAAGCCGAAAAAATCGGGGGACAACATCTGGATCCGTGATATCGGCTTCGGTAACTGGTGTGCTTGATGAAGAGGATGAAGCCATACGAAAGAAACTAGAGAGGAAATTAAAAGAAAAAGAAGAGTCCTATCAAGAGGTTAATTGAAAATTTTCTCTAATGCGTATTCCTTAAATGTTTTATTAACTGATCTTTTTATCCTATAGAGACTCAGGCAATGGGAAGCTAGAGAGCGCAAAAAAGCCGCTGAATATGAGAGGGAAAAAGAGCGTGAAAAGAAAAAAAAGGACGATATAGAAGTCGAAGCACAACGACTAAGAGAATTCTTTGAAGATTA